CCCCACCCCCCTCTTCCAGGCGCCATCTTGTGGGGTCTGGCCTCCATCCTCCTGGTCACCCCCGTCGCAGCCCCCGTGGCGGGGGCACTGCCGCTACAGCCGCCGGGACTGGCCCTGGGTGGGTGGTTGGGCGGTTGGGTAGTTGGGTAGTTAGTGTGTGTGGGAGGGGGAGGGGGAGGGGCCAGTAAGGGTTAGAGTGGGTGGAAAGCCCCTCCTGGTTTTGTGGGGATTGAGATGGGGGAATTGGGCGGAGAAGGTAAATGGGGGGGGGAAAGATGGCGGTTGTTGGGGGTTGTCCCTAACTGTCCCTAACGGCATTTACGACAAGAGGGCATCTGCGGTTGAACCAGACAGCGTCGTTTGACGTGCCGCGGGCCGGATGATCACAAGTTGTTGTCGGCTGTCAGTTGTCAGTTGTCGGATTCAATAATCCAGCTGGCGTCACCGTCGGCCGTCGCCGTCGCCGCCACTGCCACCGCCACTGTCGGGGGGTGGGGGGGGTCGACATCCGCCGCGGCTGTAGCACCCGACGCCGCCGCGGCTGCTCGCTATGCGCCAGCTGCTCTGTGCTGTGCCTGTGCCTGCTAACCGTATTTCCGTATTATGTTGCCGTACACACAGGTCTGTTGGTGTTCGCCTGCATGCCCACCACGCTCTCAAGCGGCGTTGCACTAACCCAGGTGTGTACGACAGCTCACATCACACGCCTGCCTGGATCGTCGTACACATCATAACGGCGGCGCGCCTCTCTCCAAAATTCCCCCATGCCGCACCCAGATGTTGCTCCCTCTGGCCCTCTGGTAAAGCTCAATCCCGCGGCCGCCGCCGCCGCCGCCACCGCGGCCTCCGGCGGCGCTGCCGTACAGTACCTTTTCGGAGCCTCAGCATTATAAAGCATACATAAACCTATACCATGTTAATCCAGCTCAAAGTCAGTCCAGAACTAAACCCTCCCTGGAGTTCTGCTGCAGCTTTCTCCTTCCCGAGCTCTCGTCCCCGGACTCCGCTTTTCAAACCTCCCCGCCCCGGCCGCCCTGCTTAGGTCCCCTCCCTGCTCAACCCCTTCCCTGCTCTTTCTTTCTCCCTCCTCTATTTTCCTACTCTTCCCTTCCTTTCTCTTTTCAGTCCGTTCCCTCTTTCCATCTCTCTCTTCCCCCCTCCTCCCCCTCCTTTCGGTCAGTTCTACGTTTCATACACTCTTGCCCTGGCAGCAGCTTCAATCGTGTGTGGTTCGTCTTTCCCCCCCTTTCCTCCCCCCCCCCCGGCCCGCGCTCCCCAACCTGTTGGTCCAAAGGTCCTCGGCGGCAACACGGCCCTGGCGCTACTCCTCACCATCTCAACCAACATGGCCTCAGTCTTCACATTGCCCTTCGTGCTACCCTGGGCGATGAAGGTGGCCACGGGGGGGAAACGCAGGGTTTTACGAGGGGGGAATGGGGGTAGAAGGGGAGGGAGGGAGGGAAGGGTTGCCGGTGTAAAAGGGAGGTGAGCCGCCGTAGGATTTCGGACTTGATCCGTCCAAGCGGATGACGGGTGACGGCCGCAATGTCAGCGTGAGGACTGGGGTAAGGGGGGGGTTAAGGGGGGGAGGGGGGCTAAGAAGATGCAGCTGGCTCTGCTGAGGAGGGGGGGGGAGTGTGGGGTATTGAGAGGAGGCACATGTACGGCGACAGGAGGCCCATGGCGCTCGTTGGGTTCGGGCAGAACGGAGTAATCGTTTGTTAGTGCCTGAAATTGAAATCCTCCTTTCGCCCACCTCGCCCGCCTCTCTCCGCTTTGCATCTTTCCCCTCACCTCCCCTCGCCTCCCCTCACCTCCCCTCACCTCCCCTCACCTCCCCTCACCCCCCCTCACCTCACCTCACCTCACCTCACCTCACCTCACCTCACCTCACCTCACCTCACCTCACCTCACCTCACCTCACCTCACCTCACCTCACCTCACCTCACCTCACCTCACCTCACCTCACCTCACCTCACCTCACCTCACCTCACCTCACCTCACCTCACCTCACCTCACCTCACCTCACCTCACCTCACCTCACCTCACCTCACCTCACCTCACCTCACCTCACCTCACCTCACCCCCCCTCACCTCCCCTCGCCATGAGAGACGACTCAGATGGGCGACTACCTGGCGTCGCGCTTGGTTGGACACCATGTGTAGGCGCACGTCCAGCGATGACATGCGTGGATACTTAAGTGCCTGGATATCATCGCTGGACGTGCGTGGGGTGGATACTAAGCACCCGGACATCGTGTTATATGCGTATCGCATCAGCATGTCTCGCGTTCTCATCCTTCCGGCTGCTTTCCCCATCCCCAAACTGGTTTGCGCCTGCACATGCACCTTGCCGGTGACAGGCATCTGCAGCCTTGGGCGGCTTCGGCGCCTGCAGCGGCGGCGGTGCTGGCGTGGGGGCCAGCGGAGGTTTGGTCGTACAACTGGATCCTGTACCGTTGCTGCTCCAGCTGGTTCAGTGTATTTTGGTTCCCGCTTGCATCGGAGCCGGAGTGCGCGGTGTTCTGCCAGGTGACTGTTGCAGCTGGGGACGTGGCGGTGTGTTGGATAATGATGGTAATGGTAATAGTGCTCCCTTGAGCCCCCACGGCTTTTTGGACTAAAATGCGTGTGCAACTCGTGCCTCGTTGACCCAAGAATCTAGTCACGCCTGAGGCAGACAACTTACTTTTCATTTTATCCCTTTCCGAGCAAAAAGTGATAAATTTCGTCCGCGTATTTCCTGCGTGTCTCATCATCTAGGTCTTCGCCGCTGGGTGGATTCGAACCGGCGCACTCTGAGTGTCGTCAGCGGAGCTCTGCTGTCTCTGGTTCCCTGGATGCAGGTAGTTCTGATGTAATGCAGCAAAGAAGATTGCTTTCGGAAAGCAAGAAGAGGGGAGAAGAGGAGAACCGAAAAAACGAAAGAAAATGGGGGCTTCGTGAGGGGGCTTCTGGACTCTTCATCATCCAACATACAAAAACAAAAAGACAGAAATGATAACAACATGAATCCAAACGCGAGCGGCAGGCTCGGGGAGTAACGCCAGAGAATTAGGAGAATGCCTTAAAATGGAATAGGATTAGGAATTTTGTGTCGTTGGGCGAGCTCGGGAATGTGGGAAAGGGGAAGGTGACCAAATCCGAGGAAACCCCGGCCCAGGCGCTACTGTTAAGGGCGGGGTTTTTGGGCGACAGAAGCTGAAGCAGGTATCTGTACGTGAAGGTGAAGAGGAACCTGTGCAGCGTCCGGGGGAAACCAGTACCCGTCGCACGTGCCACTGAAAGACTTCCGGTTCCTTGCTTCCGACGCGTCCGTGCCTTTGTCGTGTGTTCCGACTCGTCTTGCTGTTGTTCCTTGCGCCGAGACCAAGGGACTTTCCGCTGACTATTTAGCACTCACGGGAGGACCCATCAACACACAGACACAAACAGGGGACATGCGAACGAGGGGCCGCGTTATTATTTTTGAGGTTTGCAGGAAGCGTATCTACACACGCGCGCGCGCGGTGCGCGTGTGTGCGCACTCGCACGCAATCATAGGAACGCAACGGCCGCGCGCGTTATCCCGCGCAACTACTCGCTTTTTCCTCGGGCTCCGCCCCCTGGTTGGTCATCGTTCCCAAAGGTCAGCAAGGCGCTATCTCAAGGTGTGGTTGTGGCCCCCGGGGCCCTGGCGGCGGCGGTGAGCAGCTCCCTCGTGCTGCATGCGGCGTACCTGGCACTGAATGCGACAGCAGCGCAGGTGCGTGTGTGTGTGTGTGTACGTGTGTGTGTGTGTGCAGATGTCGGATGGGGAGCAACGGGGGGAAGAGCTCAGCGAAGAAGGGGGTGGGAAGCTCGGGAAGCTCGGCTTTGATGGGCATGGAGGGCAAGAAGCGGGGTCCTCCCTGACACATCGAAAGGTTTGAAACGAGACGAGGACAACGACAAGGACAAGAGTGCACGTGGTAGTGTGTGGGTGGCGTGTGCTGCCCCGCTGGTTGCTGGTTGGTACTTGTGCGGGAGGCTTTACACTCGCGAATGCTGGGTATGGTGCTCCTTCCTCTTTCGCTCCTGCTGCTGCTGCTGCTGTATCTGTTACGCAGCTTCTTTTTCCCATCCACCTGGCCTCCTAATAAAATCCAGTCCTCCTCTTCTCCGTCCTCCTGTTCCTTTCTGTCTCGCTTTTCCGCCAACATGCTAAGCACGGCAGGCGAAACCACCAAACTTCGGAAATCTCAAAAATCTCATTGACCGCAAACCTTGCAACTATGATCTGTCCAGGTGTTTCAACTGGGTGGTTCTGACCCACGGGTCGCTGCTCCCACGCGACGTGCGGTGGTGGTAGTGGCCAGCCAGAAGACGCTTCCCGTGGCGATGGCGGTGCTGGGGCGGCTGGGGCCCGTGGTGGGGGCGGAGGCGGCTGGCTGTGCGGCCGTGACGGCTGTGTTCAGCCACCTAGCTCAGACATGTGTTGACTTTTGGCTAGTGTCGAGGTGCGAGTGGGAAAAACGCGAATGTAAAAACGTGATATATATGTATATATATGTATATGTATATGTATATATATGTATATATATACATATATATAAATTTGCGATGGATTCCAGCTATATATATACATATATATACATATATATATAGCTGGCCAGCTATATATATACATATATATACATATATATATATATATATATAGCTGGAATCCATTGCAAATTTATATGCGGGAGTTGCTCGGTGGAAAGGAATTTTGTTTACTTCCTTTCCCGCATGCCTCCCGTCCGCCGCCCTTGTCCCCTTCCCTTGATGCTCCCATAAGTCCCCCAGCTTCCTCTACCCCGCTCCACTCGCCCCGCCACACCGTGCTGTGTCTTTTACTTTTTGGTTTTGACCTGCCAGCCTCCTCCCCCTTCCCGCTTCCCTTTCCCCGCTGCCTTGCCTTGATCTGCCATGGTTGACTTAACTCGACCCCGCCACCGCCGCACTGTTGTGAATGTCACCACAACTATAACCACTGCCGTCGTCACTGGCGCCGTCGCCACCGCGCCACGGACATCATCGCCATCGCGACTTCCGCTGGTTTATTACCGTACACTGACGCTACTGACGCTACCGCCGTGTCCGGTACACTGATCGTCGTCAACTGCCGCTTCTGCCCACCTGCAACCGCCGCCGCCACCGACCGCGGTGTTGGGGGTGTTTTATGTCCCCAGGTGGCTGGACCGCATCAGAAGACGCGAAAACCAGCTGGCAGCGACAAGGCAACTGGGATCTGCAGCCACGGGGCTCGACGGCTGTGCCACGGGGCTCGACGGCAGCAGCTGCAGTGGCGGCGTCAGGGGTGTCAATGGCGATGATGGCGATGGTCCCGCGGCGTTCCGACTGCAGCCAGGAGCTGGTTGAGATCTTGGGGCTGTGGGCCTGCACGGCTGTACGGCTGTACGGCTGAGCTGTTGATGGTATAGGACTGCTAGGCGGGCCCGATGGGACTACTTACCCTCCCTGTTTCCGAAAGCTAGGGACGGCGGCTTCAGGTTGAAAGTTTCTGGCGCTGACTCGTTGGAATTGGACTCGCTTTTGTCTCAATCAGCAAATGCATTGGAAGGGTTGTGGCGTGCGGCACTTGGAGCCGAATTTTAGTAGGGTTAAGGGACGTCCCGCACCGCCGGCGGCAGCGGTGCGGGCTTATCAATTCTACGGCTGGGGTTCCTTTGCTTCTTTTGGGGCTGCTGGTAACGATTGGTAGTTGCTATAAATAACATGTTTTCTCTGGGCCAAGAGAGGCCTGGAGCACCCCATGGCGCAGTCCACGAATTGGCATCCATCGAATTAGAATACCTGACCGCTTACTTTCCTATGAGAACTTGTTGGGCAGCATATGTGTTCCTTGGATAAGGGGCCAGGAGCAGCGGTCGCAGGCCTCGCAGCCACGACCAAGTCCTAATAAGCGTCGGCGTTAAGTGCACTATCTCTGCCTTAGTAAAGCCTTAATAAGGCGGCTCATGCGCCTTCGGCTAGTGAAGCTTGTAACTATCCATCCATCCAACCAGCATGCATACAGTTAGCAACCACACAACATTCAAAAGATGTGCTATGTACCTTGCAATGTCTCGGCAATTCTGGATGGCTTATCGCGTCGGTTTATCCACAGATTGGGCAAGAACTTAATGCTTCCGCTCCTTTCGGAGCGAACACGTTCGAACACGCAGTAGGTTTGTCTGGATCCATAAAGGCAGCTTCTTGCGTCTGCCAACTACGACTTAGGTGAGCATCGCATGACAGCTAATAACTACTAATGCTACTGTCGGCAATCCGGTAATCGGCATTGTCAACTTCTCCGTGGATTACACGTCTCTTTATTCTGGGTGAGGCCGATGTTACTGTAAATAACATTTCCCTACAAAATCGTAAAATCGTGATCATCACGCACTACTGGTTAAGGGGTTGCTTTAAAACGTTTGGAAAGAAGTTTGTAAACTGCCAAGGTACAAAGTCATCGACGATGGATATCGCTTTCTTTATCGACTTACCCTCCGTGTTGGCCCGGTTTAGCCCACCATTGCACGCCAGGCCGCAATGACAGTCCAACCGCTTTGTAAGTCGCAAAGACTTAGCCTTCGACCTGCCCTTAGCGATTAATCACCCGATGTAAAAAAACCTCAAACGTCACATCCTGCGCTAAGCCCCCGTGGACCCATGGAGGTCCTGTGAAAGGCAGTTGAGCCTTTTTTTTAAAGTCGAAATGGCAAAAAAAACTCTGTACAGAAAACCGACTTAAGAGCACTTAGTAGCATGTCAAGCAGAAGAAGCTGAGCGCGTTGAACGAGGGCATAAACCCTCTTCCTGGCTGAACAATATAGAACAGTTTTAGAGCATTGAAACATCGCACAGCCCTCGTGACTGTGTCGCATTCGATAAGCGATCTTTCAGCACGGCATTGCTGGCCAAATGTCTTCCCTCTGTACTCATAGCCCCAAGTACACAACCGGTCTGATACCGCTGAACTGTGACATCCACCCACCATCCCTCCGTGCTCCAGTGTCCCCCCGCATCCCAAACACCTCTCCACATCTTCTGCGCAGGAAACAATACGCCAGGAAGAAGGTTCCCCTCGGACCAGCACTGTGAGCGACGCAATGAGTCAGAACTCCGCATGCATAGAGTGTATGTTTGGAACGTAGCTTGTTCCACCAAAATTTCCCCGCCTTTCCCGCCTGCCTTACGTCTGGTAATTTATGGCGGTTACAAATATGTCTCCTTTCCAGATCCCCTTCCTTCCCTGTGCCTTGCAAGTGCGGTTTTCCCTACCAAGCAACTACTGCCTTCAGGCGAATGTGCAGTACAGAAAGCAACCCTTGAGCAGTTCCATCTTCATGGCTCCGCGTTTCGGTTTGCAGCAGGTTAGCAGGTTAGCAGGCAGGTACAGGGTTGCACACGAACGGTATAAAACAAGACACACACACACACACACGTGCACATGGCCCCTCTGCCGTGGCTCCATATCAGTTCCGCGCGCCACAATACAACTCCTAGCACACGTATTCCCGAAAGGACAAAGACAGTCCGATGGATGGATGGACTACCTGGACCCCACCAGAACGTACTCTCGCGGGGCAACCTGCTGCTAGCCGCGCCCTCCGGCTGCACTCACAGCGCAAAAACACACGCCATTTCTCCTTCACCGTCTTACCCCCTACAGCCATCCTACGCGGGGCTTGGCCCCGTCTGAAGCCCGGATTAAGTGTGGCAAAACGGTCTGGGGAACGGTGCAGCGGGTAAGGAAGAAGCCGCCTTCAATTTCCTGTCCTGCCTTGGCCTCGTGGTGGGGGTGTTGCTGTGGAAACCCGAACAAACGGCCACCCCATGTCCAGATTGAGTTTACCCAGCTGCTATGAAAACCTGACACGGCTCGGGTCTTACTCAACTGCTTATCTTGTACAGCAGGAAGGCCTGAGGTCCTTCACTTACATTTGCTCTCACAGTCTCATGTTACGTACGGGTCGCGGCCATACACACACATATGCAAAAGCAGTGAACGTCTGTGGCAGCTGCTGCTGATACCTTCACTCCAAGAGGGATGCCTTTAAATCCAACATCATCTAAAAGGCAAAGTCCCCGATGCCCCCGTACATGTGTACGGCATTCCGAAACCTGCTTTCATGCCCGTCGTCTGGTGCTGTGATGGCCTCCGATAATGAATAGCCGCTTACTTACTAGTGCTACTAGTGCTGTACTTTAGCAATGGTTTGAGCCCGAGTGAAACACGGGAAGGCAGGAACAACGTTGTCGTTATCGCGAACAACGCTACAAAGAACGGGTAAAATTACCAGTAGGTTGATGAACTTGCGACACAACCAAGCAATCCAGGACAACGGGCCCTAAAAGATTGACCATCAGGCAGCAAGTTATAGCGCATGCAACTGGCGCCGTATGACCTCCGAGTGCTTTGCTGTACGGGGCGCTTTGCTGTACGGGGCGCTTTGCTGTACAAAAAACCTTGAAAGGGCTTATTTAGGAGCCGCGGTACAGCTCGAACTTGGACTCAAAATTGTAGATGCCAACACTGGCCGCAGCCTTTTCGCAGTAATCGCTCCACTCGGCCTCTTTGAGATCCACATTGTCGTACTTGGTTCCTCCCGCACTAACGACGCGCCAGTCGCCCTGAAATTCCAAACACAAAAATTCCAATTTGTAAAACGCACAACTCCAACTCCAACTCCAGAAGCGGCCTGAGTGTCTCCCCAGCTTGACAAAACATGAGAGCGCTTGCAGGCGAGGGTGCGGGTTCCACAACGGCGGGGGGCGTAAGGGGCTTGCAGATGAGATCACGGCAGAAAGAGAAACTGCCGGCATTGAGGATGGATGGACGTCTGTTGCCGATCCAGGCAAAACGTTTCAAACGTCAAACGTCTATCTGTCTGTCTGCCTGCGTATCTGCTTGTGCTATTGCAAAAAATTATACAGTTTCACATGTCGGTTCGAGTCATTTCGCAGTTTCGCATGTCAGTTCACTCGATCAATACCTCTGGGTGGAAGGCGATGGGGTCCAGTCCCCGGCACTCAAACGCGATGATGGGAACAAACTTGCCATCGTCGTCGGCTGCGTTGCGGCGGAAGCGAGAATGGGAATGGGCGTGGAGTGAGTCCGGCGGCAGCACAAAGCCAGGCGTGGGAGGACTGTACGGCACGGCACTACTGTTGTTGCGCACCTCCGACTTTTTGAGCGTCCAGCAGCTAAAGTCGAATATACGACCTATTCCCAGCGCAGAGCCGGCCGATGGATTTCGAACAGGGGAGTCTGAACTTTTCATGTATGGATGGCCCCTTGCTGTTGCCTTAGCTATCAGCGCCGTACAGGAAGCCCTTACTCCCTCGGCGCTTACCTGTGTAAGGCCGAGTAACGCCCTTGATTTCCTGCACGTTGATGCTGGCCTCCTTCTTACTCCCTTTTGCAAACTTCATGACCAAGTTTGCCGTTCCTTTGCTGCCCGACAGCTCATGTTGCTCGGTCGAGGTGACGTAAACCCCTTTTTTCTCCTCAGATCCTGCGCTTTCCTTGACCTACATGCCCGTTTTAGTTTGCAACGGTTTGCAAAGTAGTCGGGTTGCCCGAACCACGAGCACCGGTCTTGGCATTTGCATTACGGCATTCACAACTCTATAACGAGTAGCTTACGTCAAGGCAAAAGTGGGAACTTGAAGGAATTGACAGGCTTTCCACGTTCTCCAATTCAGCCCGGATGCTTAAGAGAAACACCTGTCGTCCAGGATAAGTACACTTACATAAGGATTCGAGTACTATATCATAAAGGGACGTTTGGAGATAATTATGTGTCACTTGCCGGCATCTTGTCTTCCCGGCCACCGCACCACGAAGCCCACGAGGGCGCAATAATACGATCCTATGCTATCGGCTCGAGGTTACCACCAGAAGTCCACAAAACAAAGTATATGGCATTGCTTGGCCTCTCCGGGCAACTGGGGGAAGGCGTCCGCAGGTAAGGATGCGTGGCGTCGTACATCGATGTTGCACTCAGCTGCACCCAGCGACCCTTTTTTGCAGGGTCAGGACTTCAGGCATTACACGGTCACAAGCTTGCCTCTGTTTACATGCACCTACTATGCATTTGAAGGATTCGCAAGGAACAACAGCTTGAAACAGCTTTGCCCTATTAAAACGACACAAAGCTATTGCGCTGGGAAAAGCCACACAGGATTAGTACACACGCCACAAAACCCCGCTGCAGATTCCTTCCATCGTGCGGGCGTCGTCGTGCTGCGCCCGCGTGCTGCCCAAACGCAGTTGGCCGGTGACTGCTGCGCATTTTGCCTTCCACGACGCGAACACGTGATGCAATGTTCCGTATGCAATGTTCCGTAATGCAATGTTCCGTAATGCAAACCCAGCTTCTTGCGTCCAGAAATGCACGCTTAAGCTTCAGTGGGCAGATTATCAACCTTTTTTAGGTGAATAGGTGAATAGCTGAATACACAGGGCCAGCTGTCTAATGGTGGTTCGTTGGTTACAGGTTGAGAGACATAGACATCTGGCGGACGTGTGTACACGATAGGGTGCTCAGTTCTCATTGAACATGTCGTACACTCATGTTCACTGCATCCAGTGCGTTATAATTCTGTGCCACGAGTATGCATGTATATATGTGTGTCTGTGTATGCGTGTATGTGAACGTATGCTGTCACAGTGAATCCAAATGGATTCTATATGTTGTTGTTGTTGTTGTTGTTGTTGTTACATGGTCGTGGGTGCGTTCCCCGTACCTGCAAACCACCCTAGTACGAGCCAAGGGCTCAAGGGCTGCCAAATCGCCTATAAGCACCATCCTACCTCGCACTTCCAACGAAACAAGTGATGAAGGATACTAACGACCAAAAGGAGCGATAGAGTTGCGGTGGGACCATATGCGTTCCAGCATCATTGCCAGGCGTTCAGGTTCCCACTTCATAGCGTCCTTCATATGCTCGAAGCGTGGAAAGCCCATATCAGATCTGATTTTGTCGTACACCGGACAGTCCAGCAATATGTGTTTCTCATCCTCGATATGGCTATCAGTGCCGCAGCAGGGGCATGCTCCTCCCTAGGTATATAACGCCGTCCCTTACGCGCTCTGTTAGCCGCCAGTGCCCAACAGCAAAGCCTAAACTGCATAAGCTTGCGATTCGCTGAACGCGGGATAAACATTGTGATATGCGGGAGCACCTCCTTCCTGCCCGCTTGCTCGGCCGCCAGACCCATCCAATGCTTATACTTCGCCGGATTCTATATACCACCGGTGAAGAAACCTCACCCTACACTGCAGGGACCCAAACCAAACCCACGCATACATCTGTCTGTCTGTTTGTATGTTTATATGTTTGTATGCATATATATAGTATCCACGTATGTTTAAGTGTAAAGCTGCCGTAGGTTGCTTTTGCCTGTTTAATGGTGTAATTCACCATTTCAACAAGGGGCCGCACTCTACACAGCCAACCGCAACTTTACAAGGAAGGGGAACGCTACAATAAACAAGCGCAGCAAGTAGAGAGTGGGGAGGTACAGTTGGTCCTTGCAGAAAGAAAACTCCTTATACTCCTAGTGGTGTGTGGCGCAGCGGAAAGCCCCGATAAGGGAGGCATCTTATTGCCGTAGGCGACAGACCGTAGTGAAAACCGACAAGACCATCAAGGCATTCCGCTGCGCCATAGCTAAATGCGGTGGAGGGCAGCATGGGGGCCGGCCCTTCTTGGCCGAATGGGCAACGCTACATGGAGCAATCGGGGAAAGTTGTAGTTAGTTGAAAGCGTACGCGCGACATGTTAATATGTCCATGGTTTGCCTTAGGATTTCACAGATGTGAGCAGAAGGCAAGCAAACGTCGCAACGCCATAAAACGTGCCATGCCCGCGTAGCGCCCCAGAGTAACCCTTAAGTGTGGTTTGTGAAACCGGAGATGTGCAGGCGCGTGTGAGGGTTGCCTAACAAGGAATGGTTGCACGGTTGTCGAACCGAACAGGACATGGGATGTAGCTTAAAGTGTACAAAAAGTCTGCTTGGATTCAAGTGCACGCGGTCAAATAGAGTGCGCAATGTTCTCAATCAGCGGGCGTGATGTGTCACATTTGCAGGCACGGTGTTAGATGCGGTTAGTTTCTAACGAGCATCCGCTTCGGGTTCACCACAGCTACCTTGGCCACAATATTTGTAATGATTACAGATTCTAGCGCACATCGCGGATTCTTAACCTGTCCATCTTAGCGTGCATACGATGGCCAAGTTCGACTTCGATAGCGCCCTCCTACGGCGTGATTCGACCGTTTTCCCAACGTTTCAGCTCCGTTTCCTTGAGATTCCAAAATGGTAGCCAAACCGTTTTCGAAATATGTTTTTTATTACGTGGGAAATTGCTTTGCGAAGTAGGGACAAAAACGGAAACAGGTGAATATGCGGATTGAGAGACAATGAGGACGATTATATTATAAAGACATAAGCTCCGTCTAAACGCTGATCTGCATCGTGCATCATGGCTGGCTTGCCATCGTGCACTTTAGGGGTAGTCGATCGCGGAACGAGCATGGCGTTGTCTTCACAAGATCGTTTACAATAGGTAGCAAAAGAGGGGCAGGTATTGATGATTTAAAGGTCAAGGTAGCAGAAGACATTATCCTGGCGGGGAAAGAATGCAGGTAAAAAGCCCACGAATTTGGAACGAGGTTCCGAGGTTCCGGATCGAAAACATTCAGCGGCACTTGCACGGAGGTGTACTAAGCCGAAATCCTGGGAAGCCCATTTAAGATTCAGAACATTAACATGTTGGTAGCAAATGTCTTGCATATCCATTCACGTCCATTCGTGCCTCATTACGTTCCCGCAATCTGCACTTTCCAAATAGGTTTGGTATTTATTATCATGTATGATTTGAAGTAAGACGTTCACCAGCTTTTCAATCCTATTACCTCTGGATCGCATCTCTTGTCGTATGACTATAGTACGCCGGAGGTAAGGAAACATGATGGCTAGCGCGCAGAAACACTGTAATACCTCTTTTAGTCTGCTAATAAAGTATTCTGCGTATTTACTTCCTAGCGGCATGGCACTATGCATTCGGACCCTTGGGGATCAATTTGAACGGCGGCCATCGGACAACGTCCACATACACCCCTTCAATGCATGCAGGTGTTTGATTCCTTAAAACGTGTTTGTTAGTCTGAGCTGTGGTAACGCAGTGGAAGATCCTCCCTGTGGAACTGGCGCAGTGATGACTGTCCTCGCATCGCTCCAGCGATGCCTCGGGTTAGGATTCCTCCATGTGGCCATATACTTTGCAGCATTGTCTATAAGAACAGCAGGTGTTTTATGCCAAGTTGTGGACAGTAACCAGCCAGGAAGCGCCACAGGTAGGCAACGACATGGACAGCATCCGCCGGCCTACATAACTTGCTACCACCGCATAATCCCCGTATGCTAAGATATATCCCTCATTCTTATCCAAAGGCCGATTCATGATCCTCATGTCGTCACTACCGGTCGGTGACCTCAGCCAGTACTACCTCACCACGGATGCCGGCAGCATGTACAGGCTCGATTTTTGTGACGGCCTGAAACTGGAAACCATCGCTCCGAACTCTCGCGTCACAATATCATATAGCCGCATCACCGACGGTGTGATGTACTCGTGCCAGCAGCCGCAGCAAGTTGGCGTCCGGCGTGCGCTAATGGGCGACACCCTAAGCACGCCAGACAAGCCCACGATCTTGGTATACGTCGTGACGCTTTGTGGCTACGACGTTGGGCCTGCGGCGACGCCGGAAGTGAGTTTTTCACCAGGCTGAGTACGGCATCATGGCACCACGTGCGATGCGAACTGCTCCTGATGGCATATTCCAGACGGCCGACCGGCCTGGGGGTTTACAAACGATGCGGTTGCTTTCTGCGACTCAGCGAAGCAGCAGTGGTGCATTTCTTAGGGCTCCCGGTAATGGCGATAGAGACACAATTTGGACCACTTACTTGCAGGTATTCCTCAGTGGTAACATGTATCTGCATGTGTTGCTCATAGCACCGTGTAGCCTGGGTACCTGCAAACATGCGAGAGATGTTGGCATGTCCTCGGGGAGGATGTGTCTCAGAGCGCTAGTGTGCTAGTCCAGTCCGCCAGTCCAGTCCAGTCCGCCAAGTGCGGGCGGACTTTTGGCTGCCAGAAGGAAGTTGGCTATATGGTTTCCGCACTGACATAAGGAATTGCGAAATGACTTAATGAACAGACTCTTACACCTTAACACCGAATACGTACCAATGTACGGCGTTGGAAGCCTGCGCTTACATGTCCACATGCGCTTCTGTCAAATAGATAGTAAACCTTGGCCTACCACAAGTTAAGCGGGGCTTGCTAGGGTTTTCAGTCAGTTCAGTGACAGAAAATCGACAGAAAAACCTTCGCTTACCCAGCTTAGCTTGTTAAACCTACCGGTATCTGACTATGTGTTATGTGACATGGACGGCGATGCGCCTGCCTGGTATCTGCGCGCGCTTGGGCCAGGGATCTCAGCCTCGCGCATGCTGTACGGACCTGCAGGAGTTTCGCAGCAGGCAGCAAAAGTCATGCGACGTTTCCCATCTTCCCATTTTTTCCCAACTCAATGGAGGGGGGCGCAGTGATGTCATGAGAGGTTGCTTTACAGTCTGTTTCCGGTCTTATTAGCGCAACCGGCCTTCCAAAGATTTGGTACGGCTGGGCCGCTGTGAGGTTAGGGTTTGCCGGGAGCTATGCCCAGCTGGTCAGCCGGAGACCGTAATAATAATCTTGTCTCATGCATCCCGGGCAATGCCTCTCACCTTCCTGAATTCCAAATTGCCGCCTCGTCCCCGACTCTGCTATGTGCCTGCTATGTCCTGCTGTTGCCCAACCCCGCAGCAAGTTACCAACCTACTCACGGGTGACGGAAACGGTCGTACACTCGCGAAATACTACGACGCATGCTCGTACAAGCAGGTCTCTTTGAACTCCGCGCAAGTCAAGGTGCTAGGGCCTGAGGAGATCCCTTGCAGCGGCAGCTTGAATCTGCCCTTCACATTTCCCTCGGGCAACATTTTCGACACCAAGTCATGCAACAACGACAACATGATCAAATGGCACTACTACCTCGATACAGTGGCGGCACGTCGTGGTATTACAGCCACGGACTACAATCATAAAGTGATACTGCTCCCGCAGGGCTATATGGCGCTATTCCCTGGTGAGTACGGCCGTACTGCAGGGTGTCGTACGTGCGCTTTGCACCGGGAGGGAAGTGGAGCGGCCAGGGGCTGTGATTGCAAGATGTGCATTACAGTGCGGCGGGCACGGGTATGCGTGGCAAATGTAGTTGCGGTGTTGCTGCGGCTGTGGGGGCTGTGTGAGATGTGTGTTCACGGCATGCAGGGCACAGCGTCCAGTTAGTTGGGGCGAAGGCAAGCTAGATGAAACTCTTTAGTATCTCGCCCGGGCAGGGCTGCCGCCACACCGGCTGATGGCGCCTTTTTTGCGCGTCCTTGTACAGTTACGAAGTTTGCCGGTGCTAAGGTATATGTCATGAACTTACATGAACTTATTGGCCCGAGCCCTAAAGGGATTTGCAGTTGAGCCCTGAGCCCCGAGGCCTCGGTCAAAAACAAAACCTGAGACCCCGACACACGTGCCTGACGTGAAGATGTCCCGCTCCTAGCTCTCAGCTCTCAGCTCTCAGCTCTTAGCTCTTAGCATGCATCAAAAGGTTTTCTCCACTGACATTTGCCACTACCTGGCAGCGCACTACAGTGCACGACGTAACGAATTAACGGGCCCAACCTTCATCCATGCAGGCTGCAACGGAGTCTCTGGCTCGGCCTCCATTGGGCCATGGCTCCGAGAGTACAGCGATGTCAACAAGTTCGGCACCGGTCTCGTCTGGTGGGCGGGTGACAGCTTCGGTAGCCTTGAAATCTTGTTCCATGAAATCGGCCACACCTTGGGAATGGCTCATGCGAGTGTGCCTGATGGCTGTGATCTGATCGACCAGTGCGACCACACCTGCCCCATGGGCGCCATCGGCGGCCAAGGCATCCGCTGCCTCAACGCGCCTCACCTTGACCAACTGGGATGGGGCCAGCCCTTCAGGGATCTCTCCGACAAAGATTTCCCCACGGGAGCAAAGCAGCTCCTCACCATACCGCCCCAGATGACAACTTCTCGAAGCTTTGTCCGGTTAGATTTTAGCCCCCGGCCCGGCAGCAGGAAGCTGTATGCCGCTGCGCGCATCAACACACCGCCATACGACCTGCCGTATGGCATTAACCAAAACGGCCAACCGTTCATTGTCGTACACTCATGGAACGGCACATCCACCAACAAGTACGTACGCACGATTTTGCTGGCGGACGTGGAGCTCGGGGACATGTTCGTGGATGACGTCAGCGGGCTGGTGATTACCTTTGTCGATTGGGATGATAAGAAGGGTGCATCGGCCACGTTCTGCCGGAGGAAGGGCCCCAAGGAAAAGACCTGCGGAGACGGCATCGACGACGACTGTGACAATCTTGTTGACGAGAATGACCCGGATTGTGCCGGCAGAATGCCAGGCGGCGCCCAATCGGACAGACCGGTGCAGGCGCCAGCCACGAGGTCGCCATCGCCACCTCCGCGCGGGGCCTGGGGGGGAGCTGTACGGCTGCCACCGCCGTCGCCACCTCCACCCAGCCCACCGCCGCCACCTCCACCCAGCACACCGCCGCCGCGGAGGCCCCCACCGCCTAGCCCATTGTCGCCGTTGCGGCGCCCGCCATTTAGCCCGCCGCCAATCAAGCCGCCGCCACCAGTGTTTTTACCCACACCGTCGGTTTCCAGGGGCTTTCCTAAGCCGCCGCCGCCATTGCAGTCATCGAGCATCGAACGACCCTTCATCATTCGGCGCCACCCATCGCCACTGCCGCCCAGTCTTTCTCCGCCACGGCTGCATAGTCGGAGCCCGCCGCCGCCATCGTCTTCGCCGCCGCCTCCGTGGATTTTCAATCCGCGCCCGCCGCGGCCGCCACCTAAGGAGGGTTTCAGCTGGGACTTCACCTTGACATGGTCACGTAGTCCTCCGCGGGGTGTAAGGAGAACTCAGGAAGTCGACCTGGCCCCGCCGACACCACCACCAGCAACAGCAGAAAGCTTAGCAGCATTTTCAGCAGTAGCTGAAGCGGCTGACGCGTCTTCTTCCAGAAGATCTAGGAAATTGGAGTAGTCGCCAGAGGAAAAGTCAGAGTTTCAACAAATCGGAATTCAGGACCATTAATAGGCAGGATTAGGTGAGGAGGCACGAAAATATCCGGAAATATGAGCTTACTTTGCTAGCTTAGCAAGGAGTTATTTATGCAATGATGCAACCGCAGCATCGACGATGTTAACTTAAGGCAGCTCTTGTTTAAGAGGGAGATTTGGTTTCCTGGTACTGAAGAGATACATCTAGTAATACTGCGCCGTTGAATTGTTCTCGTCTGCTTGTTTATTTGTTATTTGTTTTTTGGATGCACTTTGTTTTTCGGGAGGCATATTGATTGCTTAGGTAGCTCTGGATTGCGATGTGGCGGGCGCTCATGCATTGTGCACCCTCTGCCTGCTTTCTAAGGCTGCCGTTCGTGAGAAGCTATTGCTGTTCTGTCAGAGAGTCGTTGTGAGTGATGGTGGTGATCTTTGAGATTGGGGCGGCAATGGCAGAAGGTCAGTTCCTACAGCTCTTGCCGCCTGTTTCTTTATTTGTCCGCACGCGCGCGCGTCTCTGCTCACCCATCTGCCGTTTCGTCTGTTGTCCGTCCGCGATCTGACAAGATGGGACGAGGGTCTTGCGCAGCCGGAATGACTACTGAGTGCAATGGGATGGTTGGTGTGGCTGCTCTCGACAGACTAACCGGGACACACATCCCGCGATGCCGAAAATTTGAACAGACAGCGACAACTTACAGTGATAATCCGCTTCACGCCGCCGTGGGTGTGGGAGATGTAGGGTAGGTATTCATATGCCGGACCGCGTACATAGAAGCTGGTCATTAGTCGTGTGAACTTAGGGACGCAGATACACGCCAAGCAAAATCACTGTTGCAGCGTTGTGTCGGTGGGGGAAAAACAACACACAATCACACACACACACACACACACACACACACACACACACACGCGCGCGCGCGCGTGCGTAGACATGGAGAGCGCTGGGAGTGTAGTCCTTTGTTCTGCAGTGAACAAATGCAATGTTCCAAATTGTTGGCGGCTTGTAGTGATAGTTGTTGTTGGCAAGTTACATTAGCTAATAGGCGCGGGTTGCTTGTTGTTTGGCATGTAGCGCTCGTTTACAGCTTTGCCTCCCTGCATCCAGTGCAGCCTTAGGCCTTAGTTGGTGGAAAGCCAGTACAGGAGTCTGTGAAGATGCCAGGCAAGGCAGAGAGTTGTGATCTGCAGCCTCTGCAGTCTCTGGGTAGCGACCACGGCTACATACGGATGGCTATGGTGGCTAAGTTCACTTATTCACTGCTGCTGCGCCAACTGCCCGATGCAGCGTCCCTAGCTAACGAGGTAGCTTCCAGACAGCCATTCCGCCGAGGACTGATAGGTTTGGCGGAGTGTCTTATCTGCACCTCTTCGGCTATACATTTGATGGGCGGGGGTGCGTGCAAGGCCGACGTACATGCAGAGTAGTTGCAGGCTCGCGGAGAATTGTGCCAGTAGTGTGCAGTGTTGTAGTAAATAACATTTCAACGACCCAATTAAGTATGAGTTGGCCATAACAGCGCATACCGCATGTGTTTATAAGGGCCTTAGGCAGCTTTACAGGTTAGGCAGTCAGTCATCCGTCATCATCCGGGCCGACTTCCGGAAAGTTAGTTCATTCAGAGTTCATCCATCCCGCAGGCGCCGTGGGGGCCTGAGATGTTAAGCATGTATGTGTAACAGTTTTTTATGGTCACCTCAATCTCTGATTCCGACGGCATGCAACCGTGGAGCTAGAGGCATGCTCCTTCCAATCATAGTGCCAAGTACGGCCCCTTGCAGCAGAGCGCGCGCGTACGTTGATTATCGATCTGTTAGAAGACAGCTGACGTATCGCCAGCACCGCGAATGGTGCACAGGTGTCCTTGACCTTAGGTGCAGGATGGGAAAGTGGATAGTGGAAGCAGGCTTATGTTGGGAATGTTAGCAGTGGCGGCAAGGATAGTAAGCATTTGCTTCTGCAAGTACAGCATTACGGGTGCATGAGGCTACTTGCAAGCTGTATGTATGTATATGTGCATTTATGTATGTATGTGTGCATGTATGTGTGCATGTATGTTTATATGTATGTATGTATGTATGCATGCATGCTATATGTTTGCCCGGAATTGTGCAAGGCCAGGGAAACGTTGGCCCCCCTGCTTGTTTTGTCACCTATCTTCGCTGCCCGGACCCAGCTTTCCGGAGTTATCTGGAACAAAGCAAATTCCGCCACGTACTGTGTGGACGCAGAGGCAGGCGGTGGAAGCATGAAGCGCGTGCGGGGGGGGATTGCAACACGTCCCTCGCGGCTCGGTCTGACTGCATGATGAAATCTGGTCACGAGCGTTAAATACCTCCTCATGGTCATTATAGTTTCTGGGCTTGGGTTAGAGCTACGGTGGAGTGTTGGTAGCCAACGACGTGGTAAGGTCAGGGGTATGTACCGGAACGTAACTCCCGTGAACCGCGGGTTTATCGCCCCGCCGTGTAGGGATTGTCGTGTCCCGGCATGTGCATCTAAGCACCGCTGTGAGCTGCAGGCGGGCTGACGGGCTGTGTAGGTCGGCTGGTTGGCGCGCGAGGCTGCCAGCTGCTGATCAGGTCGACATTCATCGGCCGGAGGTCAGAGATCCGTGACCGAATGGATGGAACTCGGCCCCTGGATATGCGAAGATATGCAACATCTTTGAAACAATCAAGAGGGTGGTTGGCTCGCTTCTGCCACGATAGCGCATGCTTTCCAGTAGTTTTTATAGTTGCGGCGTTTTATCGTATTATTGGAGGCTTGTAGGAATAGGAGGGAAAGGAATGGATAAACGGTTTGTACGGCGACTCATGGCCGTGGCTGACATAGCCAGAAGCAGAGATGCATTGGCTTGGGGGAAGGTGCCCTAGCGTGTTCCTTTTTTCAGTCTGGGCTCCTTAGGTACTTATTAGGTTATGTGGGGTGATTTTTGCATATGTTAGCAGGTGCGGGCCCTAGCAAATATTTTTGGCGGGCTTTGCAGCAACTCCATGTATGTGAGCTATGCCGGCATCCCCGGCAACAGATTTTCTTAGGGGCGGGGACCTGGCGGCGCGGCTTTCCGCCGTAAACGGGGACCTTACGAACTCCCCGGAAGAATGTCTAAAGTTTGGGTATAAGAAATTGCGCATATCTGGCGTTACTTTGACCTTGCATGAATCAAGACAACAGTAAGGAAATGCGACATGTATAATGAAAAGCGGGAATATCGAAAATGTTGGCATCCGTACATTGGCATCCGAACCATTTGCTAGGTCTCATTTCCAAATACAAAATCCTCTACGTACATAGAGTACATAGATAACCCCCTCGCTAAGTTTTTTAAGAAAAAAGAGGTCACAGTGGCACCACGTAGGAAGAGAGCACGCAAAGAGATTAACCTGAAGAAAACGGGCGGCCATGGATCCGGTGCTGGAGAGCCCAACTTGGACGCGGCTCCTGTTCCAGCAGCGGACGTCCATGAAGATAATACTGGCGCAGACTTTTCCAACATAGATGAGGAGCCGCAGGCAGAGCTCTCTGATGACGAACACGGCCCACCAAATGGCCCCCCAGAATCGAATTACGAAGCAGTTGCCAAAGTGTACCTTCAGCAAGTTGCAGCTGCAAGTAAAGCAATGAGAGGTTTCCTCGATGTTTGCCCAAGCATGGCAGCGACTATATCTCGCCAAAACAGCACGTCACGCTGATGCGTTTCAGGATGTGTGTTTGGCCTTTGGCGGTTAATCGACCGCACGGTAGGGAACGGTCTGCCCGGTGGTGCCGGGTCTGTGGGAACCGGCAAGATGAATGTCATGTGCTGCTAGATTGACCTGCGTATGCGAATGTCTGTTTGAAGCTTTGGGACCTGGGGGTTACTCCTGGGGACCGCATGATCGAGATTATGGGCGTCAAGGATCAACGCGGGTTAGCGCGCGTCCTGGACGACATTAGAAGATGCAGGTTGCAGGTTGAAGATTAATCAATCTGTTATTGTTGGGTATTGGCATTTTTCTTTTTTGAGTTCTTGTTTCCAGTTTGGCGGTTCATGAGCCTTTTGGCTCGTCTGGACCGTACAAGCTTGAAGCTTGTAAAACGTAAACGTAAAACGATTCTCTTTCCGCATTTCCGCCAATCTGGGCTTCGCTGCGGAAAGCGTGACGAAACCTATTTACGCAGGTTTCCGTTTCCGCAGGTTTCCGTTTCGGCTCGTTCCCTGGCTTAAAGATTGTTGCGAAGCTGAAAAATCCGGATCTGGCAATTATTACAAAAAGCTGACACACCCACAAAGCAAATATTGATCACAATATATGCTGTAATGTTATAGTTAGTAAACGGGCGTTTGAAACGCGTGTGAGACCATGTCGTAACTTCGGAGCTAGCGGAGCTAGGACTTGCGTGAACGACGAGTGGGTATGTCGCGCGATAGCCATACTATTTAACCGGACCAAACTATGAATATTGTAAGTCTAAGTTGAGATTGAAATTCCGATTCTTTGTGCATACGCCAGCGTCTCGGCGAGTTATGTCAGCTTAAGCTTCCCAATTGCTAGGAGCGGTCTTGTTCCCTTTCACACGCTTAATGATCGATTTCCTTCGACGTCATCTTGGCAGGTTTGGGGAGTCCAGCGATAGGTAGTTTGCACCTAAGGGTACATTTCCAATGCGGATTAAGGCCAGGCATTAGGGCACGGAAGTCCTTGGTACGAGCTTAAAACATAGTTTTGTTCCATAAGGGAACCAAAGGTTGAAAAGGCGAGGTAAGTTTGCCAATAACTTAGCCGTTTGAGCAAGTGTCAATGGAGGACAGAGGGTTAATCCCTGGCCTTAATCCGCAGTGGAAATACACTCTAACACTCAAAAAGATTCCGCATGCTGGTATAGAGAAACTCTCCCGCACGGAGCTCGAGGATTTTAATCTATTCGCTGAGTACATCCGCGGTCCTGGAAAAGGTCAGTGGTCGGTGTTGAACAAGACAATCACCTGTCGCCCGACAGTTATTTTAAACTTGCTAAAAGTCACCGGTGCCTACAAATGCCCAGCAGGTTCTTTCTATGCCCTTACACCGGTCTTGATACGTTCGTGGTCGCAGCGACCTCGCCCAACTTGAGGGACAATCATGAGAACATCAGCAATATTCACCCTTCGGGCGTCAGTCCTAATACTTACCTGCATTAGCCACCTTGGTCTTATATCCCAGGCGACATTTGATGAATCTAGCGGGACAGCGAAGGGTAAGCTCTGTTTCCAAATGGAGGCCGAATTCCCCAAAGGCGTCGGCCAGCGCCAATAAATCGAGAAGCTTTAAACTCACGCCTGTGACTACAGGAAGCTTACTGATGCTCATGTCGTCTATTCATGGCGGTCAAGACGCTTCGAAGTATTACCTGCGACAAGATGACGGACAAATGTACAGCCTCTCCTTCTGCAGCGAGTTGGGTCCGCTCGGCCTGGTATCCAATCTTCGGGTTCAGGTGAATTACAACCGCATTGAGGATGGCGTCATGTACTCGTGCCAAATTCCCGTTCCGCTGGGCGACGACTCGCCGTCGTCGACGCCGGTATCGGCGTCGAAGCGGCGCGAGCTGTTTGGACCCACCATCTCCACGCCCAAACGCCCCACCTTCCTCATATACATCGTCACACTCTGCGGTTTCAGTCAACCGGCGGTGGCTACTGCCTCGGTGAGTGTCATGCGGCGTCCTCCTGTGCCTTCTATCCTCTAAAGCCCTAGCATCACTACGCTCGTGAACTTGAGGGTTTAGGGTTTCCAATGCTCTATCCAATGCTATCTCCAATGCTATCTCGTAATCCTATTTACTGCAGTGCTATCTCAGTTGATCGTAATCCTATTTACTTCATGCCACAGCTGAGGTAACCGGAGTTTTAGATCTTGTTGCCAGTGCCCCGCAATCGCACGAATCACTGCGGTGCATGTATGCCTCGCGACTGCTTTAAATGGGAGGCCTGTTCGGGCTGGTTGTATGCTTGTAAGCAACCCACTCTCCATTCCTCGTCCCCATCTCAATTTATAAACCCCTGCCACCTAACTCTTCCGTTAGCGCGTACCTCATGCAGCTATAACCCATCCGTTTTCCTTCCATCCGCAGAGAATGCGGGACTTCTTCTTCAGAAACAACTCGATTTCTCTTTCGGGTTACTACGACACATGTTCGTACGGACAGATTTCCGTGCTACCAGAGCAAGTGGAGATTGTTACCGGGCTGGAAATTCCTTGCAATGGCACGTTGAACCTACCGTTCAGCTTCCCGACCGGCAATAAGTTCGACACACGGAACTGCGAGAACGATAACTTGCTCAAGTGGCAGTACTACCTGGATGACGTCGTATCGGACATGGGCATCACCCCGACGGATTTCCACCACAAGGTCATTTACTTGCCCCCAACCTTCGTCGGATATAGTGAGTCCGGGCCTTGTGGCTCAGGGGAATCGTTGCGCTGCTGGCATATCTCATACCCTTGGGCCTTCGGCTCGTATGGGTAGTTTTACAGGTATGGGGTCACACAACCCCAACCATGTATCACACACATATCTCATACGGCTTTCCCCGCCATTTCCCCATAGAGCTGCCGCTGTTCCTAGGCTGTTCCTTAAGCGCCATCGTGATATACTGGCTCCTTACTGCTAGCTCGCCAGCAAATACCGCGCCTGGCCCAAATCCTGGCACTCCATGGTCACGCTGTGTTATACTACGCTGTGCGAGTACATTACACCGGATGTATTGGCCACTCTCCACCTCCTTGCAGGATGCGACAACTTCACAGGCACTGCCTCCTTGGGCCCCTGGATTAAAACTGACAGCAAAATCAATGAGTACGGCACGGGTCTCATATGGATGGCCGGAGACGTGTTCCCGAACATTGAGTACTTCTTTCACGAGGTTGGTCACACCCTGTCTATGGGACACGCCACCATCCCCAACGGCTGCGATTCGAGAGACCAGTGCGACCACACCTGCCCCATGGGGCCCACGGACGGCCAGGGCATCCGCTGCCTTAACGCGCCGCACATGTGGCAGGTGCGTATTCGTCATGGTGCTACGAACGTCGGGTTGCCGTACATAAGGCAGGACGGCACGATTCACGGTTTTTACGATGTTAGGCAGGCGTGACGAAATCAGCGGATTGGACGGCTGCGTTCATGGCTGAGCCGCCCAGGCAAGGGCCTTTTATAAATGACGCCTGCTAGCACGAGTGCATCGCTAAATCTGTGAGGGAGAAGCCATCCCTCACCATTCCGCATGCGCATCTTCGTTTTTTGGTCTCGTGCGTTAGTTGACTACCGGTATTGTGTACGGTGTGCAGTTGAGAAAAGGTTTTACTCGGTTCCATTGCTTAAAGCTTGCCGCAACGGCCAGTCCCCCTTCGTCTTTTGCATACGCACTATCCGGGCCGAAACACCAGCTCACGGTCTTTTCCTAGGGCTCTGGTGCTCGATGTAATACCTGCTACTACTAACAGTCCAAGCCTGCCGCAAGCCCTGAAGTCATGCCTCTTGACTTTGGTATCGCCCCGCCTGTTTGTTATGCAGCTTGGCTGGAGTCAACCCATGCGGCGCCTCACTGAGTCAGATCTGCCGTACGGTGCCAGCCAAGAAATCTTGATCCCGAGACAAATGTCCACCAAGGACAGCTATGTGGTCGTGTCGGGAGTCAGGGGCCTGGTGCCAACTGACGCCATGTACTTTGCTGTCCGCATGAATGAGTACCCGTACGAATTGCCATTTGAGGTGAACGAGCCGTACATCGTAGTGCATTCGTACAACGGCACATCGACGGTGCCATACATGCAAACGGTGCTTCTGGGGGAGATATCCGTGAATAACAGATTTGTTCATAACACCTCAAAAGTGGTCGTGAAGTTCATTGGCTGGGATGCCGTCCGTGGTGCCACTGCGCGCTTCTGTCGCCGCTCGAGCACGCGAGAGCAGACCTGTGGCGATGGCCTGGACGACGACTGCGACTTTCTGCCGGACGAGCTGGACCCAGATTGTGCCGGCAGGCCTGTTACCGGCAACAGAGAGAGGCCGCCACGGCCTCCACCCCAACGGAGCTACAGACCACCAACGCCGAGGCCGTCACCACCGCGGCCTGGGGGTTTACAAACAGGGTAAACAGGATAACGGTTGCTTTCTGCGACTCAGCGAAGCAGCAGTGGTGCATTTCTTAGGGTTCCCGGTAATGGCGATAGAGACACAATCTGGACCGCTAACTTGCAGGTCCTCAGTGGTAACATTCATCTGCATGTGTTGCTCATAGCACTGTAGCCTGGGTACCTGCAAACATGCGAGAGATGTTGGCATGTCCTCGGGGAGGATGTGTCTGAGAGCGCTAGTGTGCTAGTCCAGTCCGCCAGTCCAGTACACACACACACACACACACACACACACGCGCGCGCGTGCGTAGACATGGAGAGCGCTGGGAGTGTAGTCCTTTGTTCTGCAGTGAACAAATGCAGTGTTCCAAATTGTTGGCGGCTTGTAGTATAGTTGTTGTTGGCAAGTGGCATTAGCTAATAGGCGCGGGTTGCTTGTTGGTTGGCATGTAGCGCTCGTTTACAGCTTTGCCTCCCTGCATCCAGTGCAGCCTTAGGCCTTAGTTGGTGGAAAGCCAGTACAGGAGTCTGTGAAGATGCCAGGCAAGGCAGAGACTTGTGATCTGCAGCCTCTGCAGTCTCTGGGTAGCGACCACGGCTACATACGGATGGCTATGGTGGCTAAGTTCACTTATTCACTGCTGCTGCGTCAACTGCCCGATGCAGCGTCCCTACCTAACGAGGTAGCTTCCAGACAGCCATTCCGCCGAGGACTGATAGGTTTGGCGGAGTGTCTTATCTGCACCTCTTCGGCTATACATTTGATGGGCGGGGGTGCGTGCAAGGCCGACGTACATGCAGAGTAGTTGCAGGCTCGCGGAGAATTGTGCCAGTAGTGTGCGGTGTTGTAGTAAATAACATTTCAACGACATAATTAACTAGGCCATAACAGCGCATACCGCATGTGTTTTATAAGGGCCTTAGGCAGCTTTACAGGTTAGGCAGTCAGTCATCCGTCAACCGGGCTGACTTCCGGAAAGTTAGTTCATTCAGAGTTCATCCATCCCGCAGGCGCCGTGGGGGCCTGAGATGTTAAGCATGTATGTGTAACAGTTTTTTATGGTCACCTCAATCTCTGATTCCGACGGCATGCAACCGTGGAGCTAGAGGCATGCTCCTTCCAATCATAGTGCCAAGTACGGCCCCTTGCAGCAGAGCGCGCGCGTACGTTAATTATCGATCTGTTAGAAGACAGCTGACGTATCGCCAGCACCGCGAACGGTGCACAGGTGTCCTTGACCTTAGGTGCAGGATGGGAAAGTGGATAGTGGAAGCAGGTTTATGTTGGGAATGTTAGCAGTGGCGGCAAGGATAGTAAGCATTTGCTTCTGCAGGTACAGCATTACGGGTGCATGAGGCTACTTGCAAGCTGTATGTATGTATGTATGTATGTATGTATGTATGTATGTATGTATGCATGCATTATGTTGCCCGAAATTGTGCAAGGCCAGGGAAACGTTGGCCCCCCTGCTTGCTTTGTTACCTATCTTCGCTGCCCGGACCCAGCTTTCCGGAGTTATCTGGAACAAAGCCAAGCCGCCACGTACTGTGTGGACGCGCAGAGGCAGGCGGTGGAAGCATGAAGCGCGTGCGGGGGGGATTGCAACACGTCCCTCACGGCTCGGGCTGTCTGCATGATCAAATCTGGTCACGAGCGTTAAATACCACCTCCTGGTTATTATAGCTTCCGAGGGCTCGTCATTAGTTGGAGAGATGGATGGACAGATGGATGGATTACTTGTTTCGTTGGAAGTGCGAGGTAGGATGGTGCTTATAGGCGAATTGGCAGCCCTTGAGCTCTCGGCTCGTATTAGGGTGGTTTGCAGGTACAGGGAACGCACCCACGGCAGCCACCATCCGCATTTCAGATCTGCTGCAACAGGATGATAGATAAGCAGCAAATACAAGAAATCCGTCACCACTTCCTGACAGCTTTCCTTACACTGCACTTCTCGGCTGGGTCCAGTCAGTGCTGGCAGGCAGGTTGGCTTCCATGCAAGCCGTCTTTAGAGCTCTCCTCGCGTAAACTCGTACTTAATGATCGCCAGGCAAGAGAGCTGAATGATTTATGAATGATGGAATGCCTATGGACTCATTATCAATGGCTGACATAGCCAGAAGCAGAGATGAATTGGCTTGGGGGAAGATGCCCTATCGTGTTCCCGTTTTCCGTCTGGGCTCCTTAGATACTTATTAGGTTGTGTGGGATGATTTTTGCATATGTTAGCAGGTGCGGGCCCTAGCAAATTATTTTAGGATAAGTCGCAGCGTTTCCTTTTGGCGGGCTTTGCAGCAACTCCATGTATCAACGCGCAACACCTTTGTCGCTGGAGAAGCGTCTTCCTGTGCGGTGTAATATCTAACAAGCAGATGTCGAAGTTTTACTGCATTGCTACGACTGCAAACGCATTCGATGCAATTTGTACTGCTACAGCACGTCCAGGAGCAACGCCCCTTGCAGTCGTTCTGCAGTTACGTATTACTAGGAAAAAAATAAACTTATATAAGAGCGCATTTGGGAACCGAAAAATTGCCCTGCTGCTTGCCAGTGTACGTTGCGATGAGAAGGATACTGCCAACGAAAAGGACTCGCGGCCTGAATCGATCTTGTTGCATCACTTCGTTCAAGCCTGTTGCTAGCATAATACTGCATGGCCTCGTCGTTTGGGCCTGCTGCGACGCCAGGCAAACACCTCGAGTCCAACCATAAGGGCAAATTCCCTTCCTCTACAAAAAACTACGGGCGCCAAGGACCATTGAGCTTTGTCGCCAGCGCTAAGCTTTGTGCACGAGTCCTCTGACGTAATAGTCTTTAAATTGCACAGTTTTGCATTTTACATGTATACTGAAGACCAATACACTGTGTGGCCTTCATTACTAGCATATAGTGCCAGATGCTACCAAATTTGCAACTATGTTTTTAATTGGCTGTAGTACCGCCTCAGGGGAAGCTACGCTGTGGCATACAAGATGTAGCTTAAAGTTTGTTGTGAAGCTGAAAAATCCGGATCCGGCAATGATTACAAAAAGCTGACACACCCACAAAGCAAATATTGATCACAATACATCCTTAACGATCGATTCGCTTCGACGTTATCTTGGCAGGTTTGGGGAGTCCAGCGATAGGTAGTTTGCACCTAACACTCAAAAAGCTGCCGCCTGCTGGTATAGAGAAACTCTCCCGCACGGAGCTCGAGGATTTTAATCTATTCGCTGAGTATATCTGCGGTCCTGGAAAAGGTCAGTGGTCGGTGTTGAACAAGACAATCACCTGTCGCCTGACAGTTATTTTAACCTTGCAAAAAAGTCACCGGTGCCTACAAATGCCCAGCAGGTTCTTTCTATGCCCTTACACCGGTCTTGATACGCGCGTGGTCGCAGCGACCGCGGCCAACTTGAGGGACAATCATGAGAACATCAGCAATATTCACCCTTCGGGCGTCAGTCCTCATACTTACCTGCATTAGCCACCTTGGTCTTATATCCCAGGCGACATTTGATGAATCTAGCGGGACAGCGAAGGGTAAGCTCTGCTTCCAAATGGAGACCGAATTCCCCAAAGGCGTCGGCCAGCGCCAATAAATCGAGAAGCTTTAAACTCACGCCTGTGACTACAGGAAGCTTACTGATGCTCATGTCGTCTATTCATGGCGGCCAAGACGCTTCGAAGTATTACCTGCGACAAGATGACGGACAAATGTACAGCCTCTCCTTCTGCAGCGAGTTGGGTTCGCTCGGCCTGGCATCCAATCTTCGGGTTCAGGTGAATTACAACCGCATTGAGGATGGCGTCATGTACTCGTGCCAAATTCCCGTTCCGCTGGATGACGACTCGCCGTCGTCGACGCCGGTATCGGCGTCGAAGCGGCGCGAGCTGTTTGGACCCACCATCTCCACGCCCAAACGCCCCACCTTCCTCATATACATCGTCACACTCTGCGGTTTCAGTCAACCGGCGGTGGCTACTGCCTCGGTGAGTGTCATGCGGCGTCCTCCTGTGCCTTCTATCCTCTAAAGCCCTAGCATCATTACGCTCGTGAACTTAACGCTTGCTATCTCCGGTGCCACGTCAGTAGATCGTAATCCTGTTAGCTACATGTCACAGCTGATGTAACCAGAGTTTTAGATCTTGTTGCCATTGCCCCGCAATCGCACGAATCGCTACGGTGCATGTATGCCTCGCGACTGCTTTAAATGGGAGGTCTGTTCGGGCTGGTTGTATGCTTGTAAGCGACCCACTCTCCATTCCTCGTCCCCATCTCACTTTATAAACCCCTGCCACCTAACTCTTCCGTTAGCGCGTACCTTATGCAGCTATAACCCATCCGTTTTCCTTCCATCCGCAGAGAATGCGGGATTTCTTCTTCAGAAACAACTCGATTTCTCTTTCGGGTTATTACGACACATGTTCGTACGGACAGATCTCCGTGCTACCGGAGCAAGTGGAGATTGTTACCGGGCTGGAAATTCCTTGCAATGGCACGTTGGACCTACCGTTCCGCTTCCCGACCGGCAATAAGTTCGACACACGGAACTGTGAGAACGACAACTTGGTCAAGTGGCAGTACTACCTGGATGACGTCGTATCGGACATGGGCATCACCCCGACGGATTTCCACCACAAGGTCATTTACTTGCCCCCAACCTTCGTCGGATATAGTGAGTCCAGGCCGTGTGGCTTTGGGGAATCTTTGCGCTTCAGGTTTACAGCTCATACAGCTTTCTCCGCCATTTCGCTTAACATGGCGCTGCTCGTGCCGCTGCTCCTTGAGGCTGCTCCTTGAGCGCCATCGTGATATGCTGGCGGCCTCCCGCTGGCCCGCCAGCATATGCCGCCCCTGGCCCAAATCCTGGCACTCCGCGGTCACGTTATGTTGGGCTACACGCTGTGTGGGTAAATTACTTACACCGGATATATTGGTGCCACTCTCCACCTCCTTGCAGGATGCAACAACTTCGCAGGCACAGCCTCCGTGGGCCCCTGGATTAAAACTGACAGCAAAATCAATGATTACGGCACGGGTCTCATATGGATGGCCGGGGACGTGTTCCCGAACATCGAGTACTTCTTTCACGAGGTTGGTCACACCCTGTCTATGGCACACGCCACCATCCCCAACGGCTGTGATTTGAGAGACCAGTGCGACCACACCTGCCCCATGGGGGCCACGGGCGGCCAAGGCATCCGCTGCCTCAACGCGCCGCACATGTGGCAGGTGCGTATTCGTCATGGTGGTACGAACGTCGGGTTGCCGTACATGAGGCAGGACGGCACGATTCACGGTTTTTACGATGCTTAGGCAGGCGTGACGGAATCAGCGAATTGAATGGCTGCGTTCATGGCTGAGCCGCCCAGGCAAGGGCCTTTTACTTATAAATGACGCTTGCTAGCACGAGTGCATCGTGCATCACTAAATCTGTGAGGGAGAAGCCCTCCCTCACCATTAACCGTTCCGCATGCGCATCTTCGTTTTTTGGTCTCGCGCGTTAGTTGACTACCGGTATTGTGTACGGTGTGCAGTTGAGGAATAGGTTTTACTCGGTTCCATTGCTTAAAGCTTGCCGCAACGGTTGCCGTAGATCACCCCAGTCCCCCCTCGTCTTTTGCCTACGCACTAGCCGGGCCGAAACACCAGCTCACGGTCTTTTCCTTGGGGTCTGGGGCTCGATGTTACTTTACCTGCTACTACTACTAACAGCCCAAGCCTGCCGTGAGCCCTGAAGTCATGCCTCTTAACTTTGGTATCGCCCCGCCTGTTTGTTATGCAGCTTGGCTGGAGTCAACCCATGCGGCGCCTCACTGAGTCAGATCTGCCGTACGGTGCCAGCCGAGAAATCTTGATCCCGAGGCAAATGTCCACCAAGGACAGCTATGTGGTCGTGTCGGGAGTCAGGGGCCTGGTGCCAACTGACGCCATGTACTTCGCCGTCCGCATGAATGAGTACCCGTACGAATTGCCATTTGAGGTGAACAACAACAAGCCGTACATCGTAGTGCATTCGTACAACGGCACATCGATGGCGCCATACGTGCAAACGGTGCTTCTGGGGGAGATATCCGTGAATAACAGATTTGTTCATAACAGCTCAAACGTGGTCGTGAAGTTCACTGGCTGGGATGCCGTCCGTGGTGCCACTGCGCGCTTCTGTCGCCGCTCGAGCACGCGAGAGCAGACCTGTGGCGATGGCCTGGATGACGACTGCGACTTCCTGCCGGACGAGCTGGACCCGGACTGTGTCGGCAGGATGCCCGTTACCGGCAACAACGACGAAGACCCTCAAGGCACCGGTGAGAGGCCGCCGCCGCCTCCACCCCAACGGAGCTACAGACCACGGACGCTGACGTTGTCACCACCGCCGCCTCCGCCGGTACGCAGCCCGCCACCACCGCTGGCACGCAGCCCGCCACCGCCGCCAGCCCCAAGTCCGCCGCCACCGCCAGCCCCAAGTCCGCCGCCACCGCCAGCCCCAAGCCCGCCGCCTCCGCCAGCCCCAAGTCCGCCGCCTCCGCCAGCCCCAAGTCCGCCGCCTCCGCCAGCCCCAAGCCCGGCAAGGCCGCCACTGGCCCAGCGGCCACCGCCTCTGCCATCACCAACAAGAGCCCTGCCTCCCCCACGAGCACCGCCGCCGCTAGCACGCAGCCCGCCACCGTCACCACAACCTCGCCCCAGTCCTAGTCCGCTGCCGCCACCGCCGGCTCTTAAGCCGCCGCCACCTCCTCCAGCCCAACGCCCCATGCAAGTACCATCCAGCCCACCGCAACGACCCAACCCGCCATCATCGCCCTTCCAGACACCTGCCCCGCTGCCTCCGCAGACGCCTGACCTGCCGGCCACTCCAACCGCTACCTTGACCAACGAAACTACGTTGATTAATCCTCCACCTCTACTGCCGCCGCCGTCCCAGGCTACACTAGCCCCGTCACCGTCCCAAACACAGCCGCCACCTGCCCCCCGGCTTCGACCGCCACCTGCCCCCCGGCTTCGGCCTCCGCCTGCCCCCCGGCTTCGACCGCCACCTGCCCCCCGGCTTCGACCGCCACCGACGCCCCGATCTTCACCGTCACCGCCACACCTGCCTTCACCGCTACCTCCGCCAAGGCCTTTACTACCGCTGCCCAAACCTCGGCCGCCATCACCGTCCTTGCCTTCACTGCTGCCGCCGCAAAGGCCTTTGCTGCCTCCGCCTCAACGGACCTCCTCACCGCCGCCATCGCCAACACCAAGCCCTAACCTTAACCGCTCGCCAAGGCTCCCGCCGCCGCTAGCTCGGCCACTGTCGCCACCGTTCGCCAAAACGCAAATTTCCGTGACAATCTTCAAGCCGCCGTCTCCACCTCCATTTTCTCCGTGGCGTACTGGGCGGCGCTTGCTAAGCACGCGATAGGTGGCGGCGACTTTCAAACGGAGCGTTTGCTGGTTATTGGTGTGGGGGGCTCTTCCAGGTGGGCCTCCACGTGTCCGCTTTCACGCTTGTTTGGGGTTTCGGCCTTCCCAGATGGGAGCCAGTGACTCGGTGGGATGCTCGCTGCTGTACGTGGAGAAGATCACAGCTGTCACTGGCAAGGGCCCGCACATTCGCTGGTGTTTGAGCAGCGAAGCATGTCGCGCATTAGGTCCCCATAATCGGTTAGCATTGCGATGACACCCTCATGGATACGGCATGCATACAACTTGCAAGCTGCTTGCATTGCAGGATAGCACATGCAAGCATGCAGGAAAGGCGGCAGGAAGTTGGGTGATAGGTGCAAGGCAGGGGAGACCAGGATGATATGTGGTCCGTACGGACGGTTGGTGGTACGGCGATAGGGTTGTGGGGATCAATTTGACAGTGATGTCCTTTGGGCGCAAATGATACAGCAGCGGTGCAGGGGCGGATGGGCGGAAGAATATGCGGCTTGTAGGTGGTGGTGATTTGCAGTGCTTGTCGCAGATGCATCGCGTCGTCCAGTCTAGCTGTTTAATTTACGTGCATAATTTTGGATGGTGCAATCACGGCAGTTGGCAAATCGTAGCTAGCTGCTCGGCATAGCTGTCGAAGCTAAGTACAAGCTCATGTTCATGTTGTGGAGAGCATAATCGACATCGTGTAGAGAGCATGTGAAGGACCGCTCTTTTTAATCCCATTGTTTTTGACGCCATAGAAATTAGTGCATGTGCCAAGGACAACATAACAGTCGAGGGTCGATTTTCTGTCGTCCGTCTTTTGTAGTCGTGTGTGCCTCTGAGACCCTACCCTTGTCGTGCACAGCCTCCGCCCCAAGTACGTATGATGTATGGTATTATGACCGGAAAGTATGACGATATGTAGTCGTTTGTGCTTGGTAGAACTAAGTGCGAGCTCCAGATTGATCCAGATTGGACGGCTTGGAGTTTGGAGTTTTTGGAATACAGTTCGATCAGACGCCTGGGCTGATGCTACTAGTATGGGCGGCTGCACATCATGTAGATGAACCTGTTCATTTTTGATTTGTCGTCCTTCCATCCAGATATTGCGAGAGTGCGCGCCATCTTATTCGCCAATTTCTGCTGTTGCGTACGTTTTGGGTGCTTGTTTGCAGGCGCTCGTGTGCATGCTAACAGTTTCAAGCAAATTCATCATGTTTTTTGTGCAATAGCACAGATGGTTGCGTGGATTAATGTTGTGATGGGGTTGGCCCTGATGTTGCTGCTATTTGTGATGCATGCATAGATGCATTTGCGCGCTTAGGGCATTATTAAGGACGGTCAAGGGACGACGCACCTTATTCATATGCGAGTGAGCTGCAGTTCATAGGTCCGGCCCTCTGCGTGATCTATCTAACGTCATTTATCAGAGCCCACCCCAGGGGCACAACCCGGGCGGTTCAACTGGCCTTCGGCGACGACAGAGCTGCCAAAAAGATAGGATGCCAGGCCGGTAGTAAATGCTTACAAATGAGGCTATTAGGGTAAATCGTTCTTTTCAATGAGCTGCGGTAAGCACCTCATATTCGCAGGCTTTTCCGTTATTGCGAAGGCCTTGCGGCGGCGGCGGCGGTATGGGAGTCGTTGTTGTCTTATAGCTAGAACTATTTCAGCGCACCGCGATCATGATGATTTTTGTTCGTCCTTGTTTGAGAGCGAGTAGTTATCCGCGTGGCATTTGTTAGAGAGGCAGTTAGAATTTGTTTCATTACGCCGAGTTCGTTGCTGCAAGTTCCGACGATGTCCGTGGCGAGAACTCTAGGGAGGGATCATGTAGCTAATTACAGGGCGCTATAAAGATGGAGCTAGTTAGTGGATTGCAGCAAGCGGGCTGCCATACACGGTGTAGCTATAATTTTGGGCTGCCCGGTGTGCGTATGATCGTATGACGGAAAGCGGCGGCGGCGTGCGTGTCGACCCGCAAGTCTGTGTGGTTGTCACGGTGGGATCCAGACTCGTGGAGAATAGCCGAGGGTAGCCGAGCGTCCGAATAAAAGGCCTGGCAGCCCCCCGGCAGGGCCTGCTGGCTGGGAAATAAAAAGACGGATAGAAATCAGGACTTAAACTGCCGCAAGGTCGTAATGCTTTGTAAATTATAACGTGATTATCCTCTACACGTCCATGGTGAGATTGTTAGCATTCTTGCACTAATGGCGGGAACCAGGGGAAGTCTCCCCGGATGAGGGAAGTCATCGCACGAAAGATATTTTGCTAGCATCTCGTTCCGTCCTGCTGACGCAGCCGACCGCCCTGTACGCTACCGTAGGCAAGGCCATTGCAACGCTCATGAAGTCGCGTCCCATGCAGCCATGCAGCGGCATCCTGCGCGATCATGGCGTGCAGTGGGATGTTAGTTGATGCCAAATTAACCAAGTAACCAGGGCAAGGCGCAGCTGTTCATAAATATTATGTTTAGGGCGGTAGGTTAAGGGACGCCGGCTCAGGAAAACGCAGCTATGGAATAGCGGGGCGCAGGTTAAGCCGAAGGGTAACAGTACGAAAATCGTTTGATGCCCTACCCAAGAAAAATCATTATGAAAGGCATAAGCTTGCAGAATACATTAATCGATGATCATATATTTACATTGATTATTGGTATTCCTTGGATTGGGAATACATTAACTTGGCTGCACCCGACGACGAACCTCGAGCTGCTCGACAGGTAGGGACATTTGAGCCAAACCGTCGTTTTCCTTGGAAACTAGTGAAAATTTCCCAATGTTAATGTAACAAGCTGTATGGTCTTTGCTTTCTTACCTTTCCTAGCGCATTCGGGCGATGCTTCGTATTCGTACCTTTCGGAAGACGAAGAACCATGTGGGAGAACCACGACCGGCGACTCCGCACACGTATACCTAGCAGACTCTCAGAAACTTAATTCATGTATATTAACTTAAACCCGTAGGATTTCTGTGCCAAATTGCATACGCTAATACGAACTCTTGATGAAGGGCAGCTAACAGTTGACATTTTGTGCCTTTCCATGCATGCAGGTTTTTTTTTGCCAGCGCATTTCCAAGCACGACAGGACAGGACTGTCAGGCTGGCGGCACAAACCTTACAGGGCTGATACTCTGCCCGCGTGCAAACGGCAATTGGTTGTCAGTTCCCCACCTACGGCGGCATCTACGGAATTATGGTGGTGACGGCTTCATCCCCTAGGGGCCAATGGGGCGGCATGCTCTTTGCTGCCGTAGCCGCCATCAGCATCCTAAGTCTTTCCGGCGCTGTCAGCGCTGTACCGGTTCAGGACACAGATGTGACGGGCTCAGCTGCAGGTGCGTCTACGTGCGTAGCTTACGTATGAGCTTATAATTGGCCCCATTGGCAACATCGGTCAGGCAACATTACGAATCCGTACGCGTCCCGCTCCTTTACCTAAAGGTATCGGTTACAGGAGCAGTACTGGAGCATTACAGGAGCAGCAAAGAAAGAGGTCGAACGGGGGAGGGGTAATCTCCGAAACCAAACGCAAGGTCCTGCTGACCCAAACAGTATCGTTTCGCGACTACGTGGCCAAAAACGCGTTCCTTACCTCCATTATAACAGTAAAGGATGGCCCAACTCCATACAGCACCGGCTCAACGATCTCTAAAAGGAGCATCGTAACTGACACAACGGAAATAACGAACCCCTAACCATAAAACACTCCAATCATGTCTGCATACGTGCACACGTGCGTGACGACTGCGCTGTCAGTTATTAATTACAACCCAGTCTGCGTAGGACAGCCGTACCGCCGTACCTGCTGTGGGTTACACATCTGGTGTCGACTGAGGTGTTGACCTTGACCCTGGCGCTGTTGTTGGTACTGTCGGTTTTGTTGGTTGCGCGCTGATAGTTGTCAGTTGTAAAAGCCATGACCCGCACTACCTGCTGTTGCTGCTGCTGCTGTTGTATCTGCAGCTGCTGATGACATAGCAGTAGTGGCCGTGAGCAGGTGGCAGCGTAGCGATGTCCATACCAGCGTTATCAGCAGCGGCAGCTGCTGCAACTAATTGTGAAACCACTAACAGCAGCGGCAGCAGCAGCAGCAGCAGCAGCAGCAGCAGCCAATCCGTGTCAGCGTGCAAGTCAGCCCACCTCGCATCCAACCACCTGACCTCCAATACTCTGCATGCATTTAACCACACCGCATGTTTATCTGTGGTATGCGTGCAGAGCGCCATTGGCGCCGGGAGCTACTGTTTGGCAACATAACAAGCTCCAGACGGCCGTCATTCGTTGTGTATATCACCACGTTCTGCGGGCACAACCAAGCGGCGGATAAGACTGCGGAGGTTGGTCTGCCGGAGCGGGTTGCAGCGCATCTGAGTCGCCCTCTCCATACCTCCAGCCTGCAGCAGCTCGAATGAATTTAATGTGTGTTTGTGTGTTTGTGTGTTTGTGTGTTTGTGTGTTTGTGTGTTTGTGTGTTTGTGTGTTTGTGTGTTTGTGTGTTTGTGTGTTTGTGTGTTTGTGTTTGTGTGTGTGTGTGTTTGTGTGTTTGTGTGTTTGTGTGTTTGTGTGTTTGTGTGTTTGTGTGTTTGTGTGTTTGTGTGTTTGTGTGTTTGTGTGTTTGTGTGTTTGTGTGTTTGTGTGTTTGTGTGTATGTGTGTATGTGTGTATGTGTGTATGTGTGTATGTGTGTTTGTGTGTGTGTGTGTTTGTGTGTTTGTGTGTTTGTGTGTATGTGTGTATGTGTGTATGTGTGTGTATGTTATACATGGTCGTGGCCCATCTTCAATATGGCCATCAGTGCCGCAGCAGAGCATACCGCTCCTCCCTAGGTGCATTAACGCCGTCCCTTAATGTAGCAGATCATCATTGGTATAGCGAAGAGAGTACTAGCAAGGCAATTGAACCCCGGCAAGGATTCGCCAACTGGGAGCCCTGGACTGCCAAGTATTGATGTCAGCAGCCACCTTCCCGGAAACAATAGTTACGTCAATAGTTACGTCCTACATATAGCCTTTACAACTCGCTGTAGTGTAGGTGCCCTTCCAGATGCTGGTCAGAAACAGGGCAATGGCAGGAAATGGGGCTGGGCTGACAAGGGCCTTTCACTACTGCAGACTGCTGCTCTCGGAGCGCCAGAAACAGCACCCGCGCGCGCCAAAACGCGGTCTAGCAGCACACAGCACAATCAAAGCGCTCTCCAGCGCGGCCACACCGGCAGAGCCAAAACCTCGGACACGCAGCACAAGACAGCTAACATAGCTGTGTGTCCACTTCAAACCCGCCCCAGGCCCAAACCTCCAATGTCCCCGTCGCATGAACTAGGACCTGGCCGGCAGAGCTGGCTAGCCGGACTCCTAGTGCGTAACAGTACTCTAAGGGTGCGGCCACCATGTGGTAATTGTTGTATAGCGAAAGGTCTCTGCTCACCCAGCGTTTCAAGTGGTGTGCCCGGGCTCCATATCTCCAACTGGCCCTAGCCTGCTTACTGGGAGCGGGCAGGCGGGAAATGAGAACAACAATAAGAGTAACATTAGGCCAATAGTGTAATTAGGCCGATTGTGGGAACTATGCATGGAGCTGTGAAGCTAACTAACACGACTCAAAAAGTGGCAAACCGTACGGCTGCCGTACATAACCTAGCTTAGAAGTTATACTTACTGCGCTCCTGCCGCACCTAAGCCGCACAAATCATCCATCCTGTCCTTTTAACACATCCTCACTGTGTAACTGGTAGCTGCTTACATGAAAACCTAATACCATGTGATGTCTGGCCTTGGGCGCCTAAATCTCACCATCCCCATCCCATAGCACGCATCAAACACCTGCTGACCAATGCTCCACCAACATCCTTTCATACCTTTCAACAAGCCTGGATCAGCTGTTCCGCTAATTCCGCTACCCCGATATCCAACGGACCCCTCAAGCCCTATCAGCCCAGTCACGCCAGCCCTATCCGCGCACGGACGCGTACTTGTGCATATGCCCAACGGCCTGTGCGTACTGCCCTAAGGCCTGGCCCTTTCCCGTGTCATGAATCCCACCCCACCCCACAGGATGTTAGGAGACTCTTCTTCGGATCCGGAGATTCCCGTGGCCGTAACATGCAGAACTATATCGGCAATTGCTCGTACGGGCAAATCCAGATTGGGGACCTCGCGGTGTTGGGACCCGTGGAAATTCCGTGCAATGAACCACTGGACATGAGATTTGCTCCTGTCGCGGCCTATCCAGGCGGCAATAACGTCACCTCGACTTTCTGTGACGGCGTGAGCTCACTTAAATGGCAAACTTATCTGGAAGCTTACGCTTTGACGAGGGGCGTCATCGCGCGTGACTTCCAGCACAGGGTCATGATCCTGCCTAGGGGTACCGATAAGATACCAGGTACGCATTTTTGCGTCGATATCCCTTTCCGTGGGGTAGGGAGCGTTGGGTAGCTATAGCTTACCTGCCTCCCGCAACCTACATCCTGGCTTAGAGCTGTTTCAGTGTTAACGGATATGCGGGTAAATCGGTTGGTTGGTTTACTCGCGGGGATTCCTGAGCCCTACCCGTACCCCGGCCAAATCTTGGCCGTCCATGGGCATGGGCATGGATGGACTAGGGGACTCAGCAGTGGGGGGCTAGCCGCGGTGTCTCCCGTTTGGTCCGACTAGCAACAACCATCCCCTGCGACCCGACCGAGATTCGTGCCTAGAGCCTCTCCGTAAACGTGCTAGGCACTGGATTGACTTAAGTTACTTTGGGCCGTCGTAGCAGTGATGCAGGGCTCGCCTTGGCACTTTGGGCACATACCTTTGCTGGCCTGGGGTTTAGCACCCTCTGTTCGGCGCATCACTTCATTTAGGTTATATAGCCTAGTTTGTATATTAGTCTCTAGTGCAGTGCACGGCCAGCTGGCCCGCGCTGGCTTTACTCTTCGTGAGTCTGGAGCCCACTGTAACAACCACACACATGTGTGTGTGTCACACACTTCATCATTTGGTTTTCCGGTCCGGCCTAACTACAATTGAACCAAGTTACCTCAAAATGCACGAGCGCGCCATTCTTTCATTGCTTTCATTGTACATGTAATAAGTCGTCTCCGTGTGTGCATTATGCAATAGTAGTAGTGCTCCCTGCCATTGAGTGCCAAATACCCCTAATTGTACTTTACTCTGTGTGTTGCCTGCTCTGTTGACATGTACCGTACCGGCCGTTTCGACCTCTGCATGCCCCGACTCCCAAGTACCACGGACATTGGTCTCTAATGCTTTGCTGGTTGCATTACCTTTCTAAATCTCTAATTTCTTTTTTTTACCTTTCTCCCTGCCTTCCCTAAAGGCTGCGCTGGACCCCTGGGGTGGGCGGATACAGACCCGTGGATTTTTAGTGATAAGAACCCCTATGGCAGCTCTATAATGTTCTTGAAAGCCGAGGCTTTCGAGACTTTGGAACTTTGGCTGCACGAGGCCGGGCACAACATGCGCATGCAGCATGCAAGCGTTCCGAACTTTTGTTCAGCGGGAGATCAATGTGACTATACGTGCACGATGGGGTTTAAGGACGGCCAAGGAATACGCTGCTTGAACGCGCCGCACAACTGGCAGGTATGTATGTCTGCGTGTTGCGTGAAACCAGTAAGCGGACACATCAGCCTATCCGGAGTGATGGCCGGGTAGCTAAGTACGATACCGTCAGTAGCCCCGGTACTTGGCCCCATGTCCCAATGTCCCTCGCTCGAAACACAAAATCATGCTGTACCATATTACACACAATACAATGTTACTACTCTGCATTATATCATGTCCTTTAATTAGCT